CGGGACTGCCAGTGCGCCAACTGCCTGCTGGTGGTGGAGAGGCAGCGCGTCATGGCCGCGCAGGTGGCGCTCCGGCGGCAGCAGGCCACGGAGGTGAGGAGAGGGGCAGGGCCCATTCCCCCAGCGCGGACCGGGGAGCCTGCCCGCAGGGGGGCTGCAGTGCGGGGCGATCCCTCCCGCACAGACGATGTGGGAATGGCCTACAAACCCGCAGCCCCTTCTAACGATGGCTGCAGGCTTCTTATGGGCCACACGAGCAAATCGCGGGTGGCGCCTGTGCCATCCTGGCTGGGAGGCAGTGATCGCTGCCCCTGCTGGACGCGGCTGGCAAGGATCCGGGTAGATTTCCCCCTGGAGCCCGGTGGTGGGTCACTGTCAGATTGGCAGCTGGGGCACTTCGAGAAGTGAACGGGACCGGGCAGATCGCAGGGCGGGGGAGGCGACTGGCCCCGGGAGAGGGGCGCGCTTGTTTCAAAAGGAGGACACACACGAACTACAGATACAAACACCAAGCGTGGAGGCGGCACTCCCGTGTGGTTGCCTTCGCGCGGGGTGGCAGAGATTCCCAGCCCCGGCTCCTCTCCTGGGAAGCGGCGGCTTTCCAGAAAGTCTAGCAGCCTCGGGCTTGTACCCCAGCCCCGAACGTCTGTAAGGAGGCAGGGAGAGCAGCTCTGGGCTTTGAATCACGAACGAAGATGCGGCGAACCGCTGGCTAGTACTAACCAGCGCGCATCGAGATTTTCAGACACTGAAACCCAGGGGTAAAACTAACAGAACGCTGAAGATTTCTCCCCTGCCGGTCTGTAGTTTGCGGCGGCACCGAAGGGTTCACATAATCGGTCTGATGATATTCGTAGTGTTTTGAAGGGATGGTGCCGATGGGTAATTATTAACATTGGACCTAGCGCCTTCTGTCCCTATGCTTCAGATACAAGTGTAAGCGACGTGTTTTGTTACATAGGGCGCAATTGTAAGGGGGTTCACCCAAAGGGAAGCAAGAAGAGAATGTGCTTTCTCCATTAATTCGTTACCTTTATGGGATCGTTGCTAACGAAGAGCTTCTATAAAATCTATTTGCCAAAATATTCCAGCATTGTCATTCCCGTCTTTATCACCTGCTTCCCCTCCCCCCGAACATTTCCTACGATTTTGCAACAATTGGTTTTCAGGATTTTGTCATTATTATTTTAAACGCGGTCTTTTGTTCCATGCGCTCTCGGGGCTCTAGCGATCGGCTCCGATCCAAGGAAAATCTGTTTCCTCCTTTTGCAACACGGGGAGTGACATTTTGTTTCTTTGGTATTCATTGTTTGGAAATGAGTAGAGCAGAAAACAAAATTTCCTCAAGGAAGAAAACGACCATTGTCTTTCTGCGTATTGATAGCTTTTTCTCTCTCTTGCTAGGATAAGAAGGGTCTAACAGGGAAACAGGCTAATTTTGAGCGCAAAACAGTCTACCAGAGGCCTGTCAGGGCTCCCAGCTTGCTGGCCAAAAGCATTTTGGAAGGTAAAACTCTCTGCATTCTGATCTTTCTGAGCAACAGACATCTGAACTATAGGAGCTATTGAAACACCTACTCAGATATCCATGTGCTATATGTCTCAGAAAACAAAGGTTTTTTTAGCATTATGCAAGACAATCTAAATTAACAAAAATGTTTCATAGCTTCCTCTTACAGAAAATCTCAGGATCTATGCTATCTGTGCAAATTAAAGGTTAAAGAATTCTCTCTGTTTTAGAAAAAATTCTTATCACAGAATTAAGGAAAAAAAGGCTAAGCTAAATATTATGCAACAAGTTAGAAACATAAACACTAATTCTAATAATTATTTACTAATATAATTTGAACTAAAGGGAATGTGAATATACTGAAGACTTTTTTCTTACCCTGCAATACACAGGGAGGTATCAATAGGTATGATGTACTGTTGCCTCAAAACCCTGCACATCAGGAATATATTTTAAAATTTTGAACTCTAGGAAAGAATGATTTTAGAACATAACATTGTTTCCCTTTCACATGAGACCCTCCCAATACATTTTCTTCTATGTTTATTTGCTTTTTGGTTGGGATGGTGAGGGAAGAAGTATGATTAGGCTGCTTACTATGAAACAATTGCACCAAAAGATTCTAGAAATAATAAACTTAAATTTATGGTAATTTTGGTGTAAAAATATATGTAGGTAAATAACTAGCTGGCAGTGACTGGCAGCAAAGATTTTATTCTTGTTTAATTTTATTTGTAAATGAGTACAGTGAACTTGACCTTTAGTAAATATAAAACATAATGGACTCTTTAAATTAATTTGATATATATATTTTTGCTGCCAGAAATATTATTTACTGTACAATGTCATTTTAAGGGTAAATTGTATTAAATACATGTTTTAAAGGGCTAATTCTTACTTTCCCCCCCCAATATCCAACTTATGCTACAAATTTGTGTATATGGCCATTTTGGTTATTCTCAAGGGTGCGTCTACCCAGCACCTTAAACTCGAAATAACATAAGCAATTTGCACTACACAAATTGTGTGTCTTATTTCAAATCTATTTTGAAATAGTTTATTTTGAAATGTGGTGTGTCTACTCAGTGCCAAATTTCAAAATAACATGCTGTTTTGAGACATCTCTTAACCCTTGTGGAGCAAGGGTTACCGGAATGCTGAAATAATGTACCCATTATTTCAAAAAATATCTTGAAATAACGGGTGGCTTGTGTAGACGGAAGGTAGCTATTTCGGGATACCATCGGTATGCAGTGTAGATGTACCCCAAGTGATTAGAAATTAGAAAAGAGATATGAACATGATAACGTCCAGTTCTATTAACTGTTGCTTTCTCTTTGCCTGCATAAGTTAGAAAGAAAGTTTGGCCAGATAAGAACTCTCTTTCCAGGTTACTTTCTTCTGCAATTCATTCTTTAAAAAATAATCTCTTCTGCATTCTTTTCCCTAATCTATCTTAACTTTCTTTTTCTTTTCTCCTAGCACTCCTTGGATTTTTCTACCATCTGTAACAATGTGTTACAGATAATGATTCATCTTTAGAAAATAGAAATGGCATCAGCTATAGGTATAGATATCTTTTTTGGCACTGGGGAAACCAGCGTGAGATGAATGGGAATCAAAGTGAGCTAAATCTTGCTCTCCTTACTCATGTAAGTAGTTCCATTAACTTTAATGGGATTACTTGTCTGGGTAGAGCAAACAGGATTGGGCCCAGTGTATTATATAAAGTGAATCTAATTATTGTGGTCTCCTAATTGAAAATCCTGCAATTTTAAGTAACCTGTATTTTTTCTTTAATTTTGAGAAAGTAAAAACACCTAAATATTTTACATTTTTTACTTAAAAAATATTTTTAAATGGAGGAATGAAATTCCAGCATAACAAGTAACACAGAGGAGTAAATCCTGCCCACGTTGGGTCCAATCTGACTGCCATTGATTTCAGTAGGAGTTGGATTGAGCCCTGTATTTAAGTAATCCTGTTGTCTTCACCGGAACGACTTACCTGAGTAAGATGAGCTGGAATTGGCTCTATTTATGCTGGAAGCATCTGTATTACATGGGCTTGACTGTGCAACATGCTGAGGACTTCCAGCAAAGTTACTTTCTTGGGAGTTGAGGGCATTCAGGATTTTGGAGGAAGTGCTCAGGTCCTTGTAGGATTGAGCTCCCAATTAGCATTCCTGTCCTTTTCCAAACACGACAGCTAGGTGATCCTGTTTTAGTTACTTTAATGTATTCATACCCATAACTTATTGTTTTAGGTTATCGCCCCATGCCGGCAGATCCTTACCTTGGAGGGAATTCACCTTTGCCAGCCCCCGTAAGTGACAGGATGAGAAAAAGACGGGCCTTTGCTGATAAAGAGCTGGAGAACATTATGCTAGAGAGAGAATATAAAGAAAGGGAGATGATGGAAGCCACTCAAGCTGCTGCCCTTTTCCTGCCTAACCATATGGTGCATGGAACTGAATACAATTCCTACAAAAATGCCTTTAACCCTGCTCAGGTTGAAGCTCCTAACAAGGAGTTTTGCAACTTCTTACCAACCTGCCTTGACCTAACCATGCAGTATTCAGGATCTGGAAATATGGAACTGATTTCTTCAAATGTCAGCGTAGCTACTACGTACAGGCAATACCCCTTGTCTTCCAGATTATTGGTGTGGCCAAAACGTGGCCCCATTAGTGACACTTTTCTTTACCAGCAATGCCTACTGAATGCTACTGCAGTCCAAGCTCTCAAACCTGGGGCACCCTGGACTTCCAAGACATCACAAGGCCAGGACTGTGTAAATTCAGAGCATGACATGATGTCACCGAAAACAGAAAATTCACTTGTGCTTTCCCATGCTCGAGAAATCCAGTGCATCCCGCAGGAGGCTCGTGAGAGGTCAGCTTTCTCTCCTCCCAAAAAGACTTTTCCACAAATTTCTGAGAAGGATTCACTGGCTTCTCAAGAACACGTCTTAAGCAAGATCAGCAAAGAAAATGCCAAGCTCCCTCAAGCACTCAAGTACAACCAGTTCCACTCATTTTTACAGCAAACATTTCATGACAAATCAGGGCCTGAGTTAAAAACATCATTAGTAAAAGAGAGCTTTGAAGAGGCATCTAAGAAATACAGAGAGTACTCCATCAGAGAGAACCAAAAGTACAAATTTACAATAGACAGATACTCAAAAGACCTTTTTGGGGCCAAACAAGCTACAACAAAACTCTCAGTAAATGAGCCTCTATCGTTTTCAGTTGAATCAATCCTTAAACGACCTTCTTCTGCTGTCACCAATGTTTCTCAGTAACTGCATCTCAAATGTACAATTTAAATGCTTGCTATCAGCAGAGTTCCTACCACCTGCCTTTTCTCTCCAAAGATTTGTACAAAGGAATTTATTATCTAAATGGTGATTTAAAATAAATGTGTACATAAATATGCATGTTTTCTGTCATGAAAATAAATATTTAAAATTTGAAAATGAAAAAACTGTACATGTGTGCACACTGTAAAATGTAGGTTTTGTAGAGCACTTCAAACATTACAATAAAATGAGGTAACTTATGAACATACCTGTTCTTTGCAAAGCCAAGAGGACATTATCACTTCTGCCCTCCACATCTCTCCCTCTCAGAAAGGGTATCCACTCACTTGCAGAACATGCATAAGCTACTGTTTGCTATTATGGAGCATAGGCTATTATTGTTTGCTATGCCAGAGTAACCCATCTCTGCCTTGTACTTATAGTAGTTCACAGAACAGACAACAACAGCAGTGCCAATTTACCTGCTAATATGCATCAAAGTAATCTTTTCATTGGTTTCAATTGGCTTTGGATCAGGCTCCAACTGTCAGTGCAGTTCTGTTGTGCTAAACTCCTGGGAAGGAAGAGTAGTTTATTCTGGGCTTCTCTGTTGAGACTGCCATCATTCAAACAGGGCATTCATAGAGAAGTTTTGATATGTGGAGACAGGTACAAGGGGAAGGAAGATGGAAGAATCGCAAAGTGCAGTGACTCTTAAGTGCTTGTAGATAAAGGTGTGTTGCTGTGTCAAATGGGCATTAAAATCCCATTCAAATGTTTCGCTGACTTGTAATATATCATTTCCTAAAACTTTTCAATTTTAAAAATCACAAGCTGGACTAGATATTAGTGTCACCTTCAATGAAATGAACTTTGGGGTATAAAAAGTTGCACAGAATAATAGCTACCAAAATAAAATTAAGGTATAAAATTAAGAGGAGATACGATAGCTTTGAGTCCCTTTTGTAGGCACTGGAAAGAACATGAGGCTAATAGACAGAGCTTACCTCGGCCTGAAGTCTCCCTCAGGTTGTGGAAAACTTTACCTATTAACTTTGAATCTGAATTTGACACACTTTTTCCTGTTCATTTATTTTGCTATTTTTTTCTATTGTCAGCTTAACAGAACTCACTTTTGTTTTGCTTCTTTCTATATACATTTATTTTAATCCTATCAATGGGTTTACATAGCCTTAGGTGATACAAAAGATCTTTAGTAGCTGGATGAACAAGTTGCAGTGGATGGATTAGGTTACAAATTCTGAGTAATGAACAATTTTTGTGAATTCATTCATTATTCAGAAGTGTTTGATAATTGCTTTTTCCTGAGCAGATCTCAGTCCATGAATTGCCTACTATGAGCCTATATTTGAGTTGTGGAAGTAGTGTTAGCTAAATCACATCAGACTGTTTCTGTTCCCTGATTGGATGATCTAACATTCATAAACTCCTTCTGTGTGGCTGTCTTCAGGTTTTATGCTGTTGCCATCACCTGAGTTCCTCTTTCTATGTAAAATCAGTAGAAACAGCAAAGTCTGCCTTTGCCTGAAACAAACTTCACTGAATAATACAAACAAATGTTTTGTGATTTAACAAAGCTTCGCTACTGGTTCAAAATTCACTTTCCAGGAACATTCATGGAAATAACACTTTTCCTGTGTGATTGTTAAATAGAAAGGGATGTGAACTCAATAAAAGCAAAATTATATTTGAAGGTAATTGAAATATTCGGAACTGCTTTTTCAGACTCTGTCCCTGATCCAACTCCCATTTAGTCCATGGAAAGACTACCACTATCTTAAATGGGAATTGGAGCAAGCCTTATTTACCTAGATCTTGTCCCTAGCTATCCATGGATCTATATTCACTCTGTATCCTACCAATCTGACAGCTTTTGTCTGTGTATAAGGCTAATGAAAACTTTAATTTCCTATATATTCAATATATTTCCTTTGTTACTAAAATTCTCTTTACTTTTCAAGCTGCTGGCATGAACTGTGATGCTAGATATGGGAAAACCAGACGTTCTATTACTAGACCAGCTATGGACTTTGGGAATCTTTAGTCTTTTTCTAAGAAATTAAGTACCTTATTTTACCTTTGGAAAAAATCTAAGCAATCTTGATCCCATTTAAATGGATTTCTGAGGTCTCTGGCTCGGCACCTTAAGCTTCCTGGTCTGACACAAATATTTGCATGTATTGGCTAATCAGCCATAACTTAGTCCTCTGAGATTGAGACTCAGGCCTCTGTGAAATCACTAACTGAACAGATTTGGCAGACTGGCAGATGTCCAGGCAGAGGCCTCAATGAGGCTAGTGACTCACTACTTCTCCCCTGTAGGGCTTATGCTAAGGCACAGACCTCCTTAGGCACAGACCTCTCTGGCTTAGGGCCTCTAGCTTTCTGAGGTGATGCTAGTAAGTCTAGGGCTACATTAGAGAGCTTACAGCTGTGCAGCTAATGCAGATGTTCTAAGCCAACGGGAGGGAGTTCTCCTGTTAACTTCATTAAAACACAGCCAGTGTGTGGTGGTAGATATGGAGCTCTGCTGATGCCCTCATCAGAAATCTACATGAGCTCTTAGGTCAGTGTACCTTGCATCACTTGGGGGTGGCTTATTCATGCCACTAAGCAACAGATGGAGTGAGCTATAATGTAGCTGTAGCCTCACATCCAGACCTGAGTGACTTTAGGGGCTCAGTTGCCCTAATTCGTTGGGCCGCTGTGAAGGCACCGGTGTCTGTGAGGTGACTGGCCCGGCATAGCTAACATTCATTATACCTAGCGGCTGTTAGTGCTGAGCTAATTCGTGTGTTAGAAAATCATTCCATTCCTCTAGTCTAAGTCTGCCTTCCCAGTTTGATTTGTCAGCTTGGTTTAGCACAACACTTCAGTTCTTACATGGAATGCTTTCCATTCATCTGACCTTGAGGTGATAGATAACTACGGCGAAACCTTGCTTTCTGCTGGCAGAGGTTCTTATGTGTATCATCAACTTCTTTTCCCACCGATTTTTTTGTCAGGTGAACAGCACACTGTGAACATGAATATTTCCTTTCAAATCAGATAATTATTGGCCACTTTCCACTGGACTCTACTCATAGTAGGACAAACGTGACTTAAGCAAGAATGGCCAATAAGGAGAGCATATTTTGGCAAGTAGTACTCAATGGATGGAATAGCAATGTAACTGGGAGTGAGGAGGTGGGAAACAAAATTCACTGGTAGGACATGTCCCTCCTGGAGATAGTAATTGCTATTATAATGGAGAAAACTTGTCGCTTTGATGGAAACTCCACACCCCTGCCCTCTTCATGAGCAAAGTTATGTTTCTGCTGTATTTTAAGAATAAATTGTCAGTGTAAATGCAAGGGCATGTGAGTTTCATCTTGTGGGCTGGGGAAGATACTAGGCAAGAGTATGTCTACACTACCACTCTAGTTCGAACTAGGGTGGTAATGTAGGCAACCGGAGTTGCAAATGAAGCCCGGGATTTGAATTTCCCGGGCTTCATTTGCATCTCGCCGGGCGCCGCCATTTTTAAATGTCTGCTAGTGCGGACTCCGTGCCCCGCGGCTACACGCGGCACGGACTAGGTAGTTCAGACTAGGATTCCTATTCCTAGGCTCGTCGTGAAATGAGGAGTAATGGTAATTCGGAATAGGAAGCCTAGTCCAAACTACCTAGTCCGTGCCGCGTGTAGCCGCGGGGCACGGAGTCCGCACTAGCAGACATTTAAAAATGGCGGCGCCCGGCGAGATGCAAATGAAGCCCGGGATTTGAATTTCCCGGGCTTCATTTGCAACTCCGGTTGCCTACATTACCACCCTAGTTCGAACTAGGGTGGTAGTGTAGACATACCCCAAAAGTGTTATGGTGTAGCTGAAAGACAATGTGGTTTTAAGGACACTGTTCTTTTCTTTCCTCTAGTAAAGTTCCTTGTTAAGCATTAGGAGAAAGTGATTCGCTGTTGGTAATTCTTTACCATTGTCACATGATGCAACCCCATGGAGAGTATATTGCCAAATATTTCACCTCAAGGTAACCTAGATGTGCGTAACTGCAGTCAGGTCTGCATCCAAAAGAAAAAGACATAGGATCGGGAGGTTACCTGTAACTCATGGCCCTCTGTGGTGTAGGATATATATTGAGCAATGTTAGGGTTTACATAAAGAAAAGGGGAGCATGTACCAGGATTCATTTCACATCTGTATTAGTACCTGGCCTGGGCCAGAGAAAAAAAAAGATCTAAACAGTGAACAAAATTTGATGTCGAATCTTGGTCATGTGCCACCTGAGGCATGTGTCACATACCCTAAGAAGAGGGCAAAGAAAAGTGGAAAAGAATGAATGTGTCTTAATAAGCAGGCAGGGATGCTGACAGTCACGCTGGGTCCCTAGGTGGGGAGTAGGGCCAGCTCTGCACTCCCAAAAGGGGTGGGGCCTTGGCCAGAAGGGGTGGGGGTGGGGGAACCAGCCCTCAGTGCCACCCGGAGTGTGCCACCCTCCGAGCCCTCAAAGCCACTCTGAGCATGCCGTGTAGTGATCCAGTGGCAATTTAAAGAGCCTGGGGCTTCAGGTGCCAGAATCTCCAGGCCCTACGGGGCAGTTGCCCTCTTTGTCCCCTTGTTGTAGGGCCTGTAAGCTGGTTCCCTGTTGCTATTTCCTTAATCAGCAAATCCATGGTTTTTCTGGCATTCCCATTCCCAAGCTACAGGGCATGTGTTGAGAAGCGGCACACAGCTTTGTCGAAGGAGCCGGGGGAACAACTGATAGAGGAGAGGAAAACCTTTGATGTGCAGCTGCCTGTGTTGTGCTGAAGGCGAGGAGGGATGCTACTGCCCCATCCCAAGGTCCCAGTTTCTTGTACAGCAGCTCATGCTCCATAGTACTGCAAATAAAAATCAGTCTCCTCACCGCCCCACTATGCACGCCTCAGTTGAGCAACCATGCTCCATTGGATATCATATATACTTCCAGTCCCCCTCCAAACAGGTGTGAGGCATGTACAGAAAGCAAGTACTTTCCCCTCACTTCTTTGGTGACCAGGGAATGAGAGGATCCCGGAGTGCATGGCTGCTGTCCCGCCTAGTCTCCCAAAATGGTGCTTTTGCACTTCAGACATGGCTGACTGCAAGTGATGCCTGTCTTATATGTTTAATTGTAAATATGATTAAGGCTACATCCACACTGCCAAGTTTTGGCAATTGAGCTAATGTTTACACTGACTCCCTCTGACAGATGACGTCCATGTTTTTAACTTCCCCATGGACAATGAGCAATGCACTGTAAGGGTATGTCTACCTAGTTCTTCCTTGTATCCCATTAAAGTCCTGGTCTTCACAACCTCCTCTGGCAAGGAGTTCCACAGGTTGACTGTGCACTGTGTGAAGAAAAACTTCCATGTGTTTGTTTTAAACCTGCTACCTATTAATTTCATTTGGTGACCCTTAGTTCTTAAGCATGTACATCAGCATCTGTGACTGCAAGCATCCTATTCCAGGTCTGTTTTTTAAGGGCTTTTTGGTAAAAATCCACCCTAGCAAGTTTATGTGGTGGTGGTGGTCAGGAAGCGGCTACTAAATAAATAAGAATAATATATCTCTCACAGATGGGGAACAGCCACATATGGATGAGCCTAATCCATTCATTAGTTTATGAACACAAAGTCCCACTAGAGAGTATCATAAATCCATGTGATGTTCCTGAGTGCTGGATTTTGCATTTGGACTTATGAAATAGCTGCAAGTTGTTTGAAATGAAAATCACATGTATTCAGAAACAGCACCATAGCAGGGGAAGCTGGTAACATCTGAAAGTGGGTAGGCAAAACTGACACATAAAGACATGCTCAGAGCCAATTTACAGCAAAGGGTAAAGATCATACTATATCTGACTTCTCCCTAGTGACTATCCATCCAAAGAAGCTCTTGTGTGCTGATTATACCAGCAAGTGTATGGAATGTATTACAATCACCAACTAGCTTACACCATGCTGATTTCAGAAAGGAGTGTATGAAAAGTTGGAGTGCAGGGCTTTCTCTTTTTACCTTTGCTTGATAACATTGAAAACAGAGCTCATTCTGATCAAAGATGCATGTCTTAACTAGCCCAACTATTGGAAGAGAGCAGTACAAGGATGGAACAACAGTTTTGTGCAAAAGCTGATGCAAGTCTTTCTAATGCATTCCACTTTTAGATACTGGATGTCAGATAAGAGTTGAGTCCTAAAGGCTAGATACTCAAAAGCTGGGTGTAATAAGTGAGTCATCCAAAATGCATATGTTTCAACTCCTGCACTTGTGTGCAAAAACTAGGTAGCAGAGCATGCAATGATATCTACCATTTCATATGCACAAATGGAAGAATTTCCCTGCAAAATTGCTGTATGTAACCTTTTGCTCAGGACTTTAAACATAATATTTTAAATTTATTCCTGGTTATCATGGGTTGTTACTTAATTATGCCGGTGACATAATTAAATCTCCCCTTCAGTTGTTCTGTAATATTTGTCCTATTTATAATTATTTAAAATAAGGAAATTGATAACCGTGCTTGCAAATTTATTGACGAGTCAGACTACTGCATTGGTTAGGCACAAAACTGAGGATTCTAGCAACAGGGACATTGCGAAACTTCTGTTTTACGTCAATAATACCCTAAAGATTGTTAAGTATTTATTGAGCAAATTTGAACTGAATAGTTGCAGTGAA